CACCTCCTAGTACTATGTCATCTTAGGCAAGTTACCAAACCTGAATCTTGATTTCTTCTTGCATGAACACATGTAATAATAGTACACACCTCAAATGGTTGTGGTGTAAATTAAATGAGATATATAAAAATCCCTTAGAAAACAAATGGTAAGCATTCATAAAATTGGGGATGGAGTCAATATTAGAACTTAGAATAACACTTGATCATGTAATTTAAGCACCTGCTACTCCTTGATTCTCGCCTTGCTCAAAGTGTGGTCAGTGGAGCACAACCATCAGAATTACTTGTTTGAAAAAGCAGCTACCCGATCCTCACAGCAGGCAAACTGAATTAGAATCTCTTGGGGTTAGTCCCAGGAATCTGCATTCTAAGTGATTCTCACATACACTACAGCTTGAGAAGCACTGCATTAAGCTTAATTATGCTCAATAGTATTCACACAATTATCTTTTGCTTTGTTTATCTCCATATCTGAAATGTGATCTCTACTTATACCATTCATCCAAATCCTTCAATAGCTATTCATTTATTGTCTATCAAGTGCCAGGCATCATTAATTCAAGAGCAGACTCCAAGTTCAGCTTTTAATTTATTGTGCCATCCTGGTAAAGCACCTTACCTTTTCTCAGAACATGTAAGTTTGGTGTCAGCTGCATAATTACCAGGGTTGAAATGAACATCATTAAAGAACATGGATTCGTGTTAGTGGAGCCAATAGAAATAAGCCACCTTCAGCTATGTCTGCATGTGTATGTATCTATAACATTACCTATAGAAATGAAGAAGTTAGGGTCAACATGGCAAATAAATGTGACTTCATATGACAACTCTAAAGAATCATTCATATTATTGGTGTTAATTGCAGCCTTGAGCTCTCTGTTCAGGATTTTGAAGCTGCCTCTTGGTTTAGCAATAAAAGCTCTGTTTGGGCCGGGCATGGTGGCGCATGCCTGTAGTCCCAGCTACTTGGGAGGCTGAGGCAGAAGGATTGCTTGAGCCCAGGAGTTTGAGGTTGCTGTGAGCTAGGATGACGCCACGGCACTCTAGCCCAGGCAACACAGCGAGACTCTGTCTCAAAAAAAAAAAAAAAAAAAAAAGCTGTTTGATTATTCGTGTCTGCCATGGATGAGAGGAGAATTTGGAAGCAAGTTACTAAACTTTTCTAAACCACAAATTCTTTATCTGTATTATGGAAATAATAAATTTATAGCGTTGTAGAGTTTAAGTGAAAAAAATATGTAAAAGGCATAGCACAGTGTCTGACACACAGTGAGTGCTTATTCAATGGTAGCTGGCACAGTTTTAATTACTTCTTAGAAATTCTGGATGATATAATCTCAGTGGGAGAATACAGTGTGGGCTACAAAACAATCTCCAATGCTATTTTTGCTACTCTTGATCCCTCAATATCACATTCTTCCATAGCAAAATAATTTTTAGCTTAACATATTGCCACCCAGAATAAATAACACATTTCCCAGACTCTCTTGCAGTTCTGTATGGCCATGCAATTAAGTTCTGGCCAATGGGTGTAGGCAGAGGTGTTAAAAACCCTAAGAGACTACTGGTAAGTGCCCTATGACTCTTTTTTCTTTGTCTCTTTTTTTTTATCCTGCTACATGATACTCAGAAACCACCATAGACCATGAGAATGAGGGACACAAACTAGGGACTGAAAACCAGTGAGTTTGAAAGAAACTGGGTCCCTTAGGACTAAGCAAAGCCAACTCAACCCTAGATCGCATCTTCCCAAAACTTCCCTTGAAAGAGAAATAAAAGTCTGTCCTATTTAAGCCAATATTATTTAGGAATCTTCTGCTACTCACAGCCAAAACCCGTCCTAGTTGGTAGCTATCTTGATAGATATGTAGTACCCAGAAAAGGGAGTTAACAATCATGTTCCTCTTCCCTGATCAGACCACAACTTACGTATTGTTTCATTTTGGATGCCATGTCAAAAGGCATTTATGTAAGCTGATTCCTGAGCAGAGCAACAAGGATAAATAACCTCAATATGTCAGAGGAGAAATGGTTGGAGGACCCGGGAATGTTTATTATGCTAGAAAAGAAAATCTGATTATTGTTTCCAAATATCTGAAGTTATTTCTCCTTTCCCAGCATTGGGTATTACGAATTCTTAATGCAATTCTGAGGTACTGCATTTGATGTGTGATCCTGAGTTTCATAATTCTCAGCCTCAGGATACCAATAAACTCTCTGAAACAGGCCAGGCGAGGTGGCTCACGCCTGTAATCCTAGCACTCTGGGAGGCCGAGGCAGGTGGATCACTCAAGGTCAGGAGTTCGAGACCAGTCTGAGCAAGAGTAAGACCCCATCTCTACTAAAAAATAGAAAGAAATGATCTGGACAACGAAAAATATATATATATAAAAAAAAAAAATTAGCCGGGCATGGTGGCACATGCCTGTAGTCCCAGCTACTCGGGAGGCTGAGGCAGAAGGATCACTGGAGCCCAGGAGTTTGAGGTTGCTGTGAGCTAGGCTGAAGCCACGGCACTCTTGCCCGGGCAACAGAGCAAGACTCTGTCCCAAAAAAAAAAACAACTCTCTGAAATATGCAAATTTTTGTTTGAAAAGAAATATGTGCACTTTTCCTGGGGAAAAAAGCTGTAGTTTCCACAGTATTTTCAAAGAGCTGTTGATTCCAACAGGAATATAGTTCCTTATTATCAAATTGTACAGAAATACACACACTTGGACTTACAGTATTTTCCCTCAACAGTGGGTCAGAGACCTCAAATTCCTGCATTTCTATTCTTCAACTCTCTACAATAAAAATCCAATCTGAAGTCTGACCATTTTCAAGATGGGAAGGGGCAAGGCACCCCTCAAAAAGTAAGAACCTCCAACCCATGATCAGGGCCAGCTACATAATCTGTGTGGGCCAATGCAAAATGAAAATATGATGCTTCTCATTCAAAACACAGGAGAAAACCTTCGGCTTACCAGTAAGTAGAGAAGCACTGAAAAGAAAAGGAATTGTGGGTTGTCCTATCTTTCCTTTTCCTTCTAGGTCATTATTTTTCATGTAAGTGATTAGAAAATATAATAAGGCTCCTCAGTTGTTCATTGCCTTTCGGTGTTCAAAACAAGTTCTGGTTCGAATGGAAAGCATGGCCTCTCAGTGGCTGTCAGCTGCCCTGAATACCCAGTTGCAGAGGTGCTGATATGGAACATAAGCACAGAACTCCAGTGGACCCACAATTTGTGAAAGTTCAGTGAGATTCACAATGACTAGCCAAGTTCAAAGATAAAATTATTAAGATGGTAGCAGAGTATTTCAATGAAGTGTGAGCCCTTTTGAGCACAAGTCAACACATGCCTATGAAGCTGGCTCTGGTCTCTACTCTCACTTTCCATTTATTACCCTTTGGCCTCAAACAAACACCAACCTCTGCTCATTTCTTCTTGATGCTTCTGCACAGATACACCACACTGCCCAGTGGTAGTAAACTGAAAACTCATGGAGATGATCTGGTGAACTTGGAGAATAAGAGAATTGTTGGCTGCCGAAGGATATTCCAGCTTCTTCCACTCATGCCAGGAGGCCCCTAGACTAGAGTGAGGATGTAAATGCTAGTTATCTTTTTTTAAAAAAAAGAAAATCTTCATAAGTAATGCCTAAATTCAAAGCAATTGATCAGTTTTCATTTATTCATTCCCTTATTGTCCCTTTGTTTGACTACTTTGAATTGCTAAAGAGATGCTCACAATTTAACTGTGAACAGTTAAGGCAGATACAGTTCTTGCCCTTATGCAACTAAAACAGGCAATGAATGACAAGTCAGCGTCACAAGTAATACCAATGGGAAAGTGAGGGGCACTAAGCATAAAGTAGATTACTATGGCGCTTTGGGGACAAATAAGGCTTCCTGGAAGAATTCAGCTCTACAATAAGACCTTCAGCACGAATAAGAGTAAGTCAGGCCAAAGGAAAGGAAAGACTGTTCTTGACAGACAGAAACATGGGCAAAAGTGGCAAGAGGAATTTCAAGGAAAAGAGAAAATTCACAAGAGGTGGAACTAGGAACCATGGGGCTTTTTAAGAATCAAACATACTAAGGAGTTTGAACTTCGCCTTAAATGCAATGAGGAGCCATTGAAAAGTTTCATATTTGTTCATATTTGCTTTGTAAACATACTACTTTGAAAATGAAGAACAAAGGCCGTGGAGTATGTGGTTAGAGTGGGTACCGGTGCAGTTCAGGGAATGAGATTAGGTAGGTAGGAGGCTGGACTGGGGGAAATGTGGGTGGGTATGAGAAACACTTAGAAGGTAGAGTTGGCAGGACTGTATGAGTGACTGGATGGGGAAAGATTAAGGAAAGATGAAGAATCAATAAGGACGATTGCCCAGGATTCTGAGTCCATAACTGGATGGATGCTAGTGCCATTTGCTGGGAAGAGTTAAACAGCCAGAGGTAGCCCGGCCAAGAGAGAGAACATGAAACTGAAATTTTCAGATAGCTGAAGTTTCCCTAATAATATCTCTTTATTCAAAGTGTGTTGCCTGTTTTGGTTTCAATTTCCCTAAAAACTGCCTCCATGTAGCAAGCTGGCTAACTGCTTCAGCAGGAAACCAATCGAGATTCTTCTCACAAGAGGGAGCCCTTGAGCACAACCTGGGAGATGGGAAGCTCTCAGACTAAAGAAACAGGAAGCTTTGAACGAGGTAACATACCCCGTCTTAAAGGTCTGGGAGTCACTCCACCCATAAAAGTCCTGCGACTCAGCAGAAAAGTACTGGCCTGGCGGGCTCTGAGGGGCTGGACCACTGGTTCCGCCCCCAGCGGGGGAGAACGGAACCTGGTAGATGCCCGGATGTGGACGCCCGGCCTGAGCGCGTCACGTGACGTCGCCTGGCGGGGTGGGACTCTGCCTGCGTTTGTGGCTGTGGCTGCGCCGTCGCGTCACGTGACGCCCCCCCCCAGCTAGCCAATGGGTGAGCGTGGCGGAAAATTTCGAATGTCGTCGCCGTAGTTGCGGACAACGGGAGACGGTGCCACAGACCTGGAGGCCCCGGATCGCGGGCTCGCACGCGGCGGAAGACCGTCGCCGAGCCCTGGAATGTGAGGAGGAGGGCGGTAGCTGCTGCAGAAGTAGTGGCCAAGGTATCGTTTTGGACGCGCCTGAGGGAAGAGGGTGGCCAGGCCCACTTCCGGCAACCCCTTTCTCGGCTTTCCCCGAGGCCCTCGGAGCAACAGAAAGCCGTACGTTTTTCAGGTGTGGAGGAAAGGCGTAGTGACCCCTCTCTTCGGCTTCCCTCAGGTTCTCACAGTATCGTTCTAAATTCGATGGCCGATAGCTCTGGCTGTGGAGTCAAACTGAGCCGGTGCTTTATGCTACAGAGCCATTCGATCTGTGCTTTCCGATGTTCCGGTTTCCTCTTGTTAAATGGGGTCGTGAACCTCCTACCTTGCAGAATTGTGCAGATTAAGTGATTTCCAAATAAAGTTTTTGCAGTCGTTAAAAGCCAGGCTCAACGTGAGGACACACCAAAAAATTGGCAGCTATTGTTTGTGCAGCGTTGACGTCCTTTCCTTGTCCGGGCCTTTCACTTCGTCAGTTACCCTGCAGAGGCCAGAACTGACTAGTGCGTTACCTGGCTGCCTCCGCAGCAGACCAAATGGAGAATTATGGGTGGAAATCAAATATTTTAGCTCTTTTGAATCCAGAGCCCCTGCACACATACTGTAACCATTGAGACCGTCATCCTGCACCTTTGGCCTGTCTCAGCTTTCATTTGTTCTCTCTACACACCCCCTGTTAACAGCATCGCCTTACACAGAAAATAAAACGACAAATTTCTTCTGTGATATTAACTTTATTAAATGTGATAATGAAAGCTTTTTAGATAAGGCTTTGCTTCTAAAATACCTTAAGTAAACTAGATCATTTACTTCATCTGTATGGCTCTCAAACATCTCCAGTTCTAATTTCAAAACTTCATTGTAGTAGATTGTTTTATGCAACCAACTTACCATTAGTGCTTTAAAAAATAGTTGCCCCTGCTCTACTGGGAACCTCCCAGTATATATTGTATATATGTTGGTAGAAAGGAAATATTTAAATGGGACCTACATTATATTTAAGACCCCAGACACTGCAAAAAGGAAAATACGCAACAAAATGTTAGGTTTAGGAAAATATTTTACTTACTTAGAGGAGATGAAAATACCCTTTATGGTGAAAATTGTATACATAGATTATCATAGGAAACAAGAATTTTTTTTTTTTTTTTGCCACGTTAAGATCTGCAAAGTGCTATGTAGGGTAAAAGATATTCACAAAAAGTAGTTTGACATGTTTAGTAGCGTATCTGAATCTGATTTGCAGCATTGAAAGATTAATTGTACTTATGTGTTAATATACTCAATAGCATATTCCTCTGTCATTGTATGTTTTACCATTTTTTTTTTTTTGAGACACAGTCTTACTCTGTTGCTCAAACTAGACCGTAGTGGCGTCATCTTGCTATATTCATAAGTTACAGCCCTGAATTTTAACAATAACTTTGAGAATACTAACATATTCCTCTGCCCTAGTTCCTGTGCATTCCAACTCTATAATTGTTATAATAGCCTATTAAAATTGTATGTAGTGCTACATAGTTTAAACCTCTATGGAACACCTTGACTTCTTGAGAGTGTGTGCATATCTTAAGTGTTACTGGTTTAAAAGAGTGTGGAAGAGTAATTGAATGAGCTATTCTGATAAATTAATAATTAGAGAAGAAATGGAAAGCAAAGTACAGATATATGATTGCCGCTGAACTAATGCTGCAAGTTTAAGCACTAAAGTTGGTCATAAACATTTTTTGTAAGAAACATAAATAATAATGGCATTAAAATAATAAGCACTTCCCATATTGCCTAGCATATAGACTCCAATGAGTATTTGTTAAAGAATGAATAAGAGGAATATTATGGAATTTTGGGGTTGGAAATCCATATTCAATAAAGCTTCCCTATAAAGTGCCTGAGGAGGATAAGATTATGCCAAAAATGTTAATGAGATTTTAAAGCTGCAAAGTTTAAATTATTATCAGGTCAGCTAACTTATCTACTTTGAGCTAATTTTACAGTTAAGTCTATTTAATCCATTCTTTATAACAACCTATATTTTCATTCTTAAGTTTTATATTTGATAATATTGTCTGTGAGAAAAATTAAATATTTTTTGTTGTTTTAAATTCTTAGGCTTAAGATGGCCAAGGAAAGGTGCCTTAAAAAGTCCTTTCAAGATAGTCTTGAAGACATAAAGAAGCGAATGAAAGAGAAAAGGAATAAAAACTTGGCAGAGATTGGCAAACGCAAGTCTTTTATAGCTGCACCGTGCCAAATAATCAGTAAGATATTTTTATGTTTTCCTTTTACATCACTTTTTAAGTTTAGATTTAATAACTGATAAACTTTTTTTTATCCTCTTTTAGCCAATACTTCTACACTGCTGAAAAATTACCAAGACAACAACAGAATGTTAGTTTTAGCTTTGGAAAATGAAAAATCCAAAGTGAGAGAAGCCCAAGATATCATCCTACAGCTGAGAAAAGAATGCTACTACCTTGCATGTCAGCTATATGCACTGAAAGAAAAATTTACTTCACAACAAACAGCTGCTCAGGTATTTTTATTACAAAGGCTGAATTTCTTAAAGAAAAAGTTAATCCATGAGTAAGTCATTTAGATCAATTATGTTATTTAAATTAATTACTGATAGCTCTGTTATTAGTGAATTGATTAAAACATCCTTCTTCAGTGCTCCAGCACAGCTATTGTGTGTGTCTAATTAAGAAAGCTTCAAGCACGTAGCTGATTAAGGCTTGTGCCTGCCTAACTTGGTTCTGAAAGCAAGTTGCAAGACAAGGTATAGAAGACATAGTTTTAGCCTTTTATACTGCCAGTCCATTTGAATGTTCAGCTAAGTGAGTCAAAGACAATACAACTAAGCTAAAGGTCTAAAAGTGGTAGTTGAAGTAGACTAACCCAAAAGTTTTAATCAATGCTATCTTAGCTTTTCTATATAGTTTTGCTATATATATCCAGTGAAGTTTTATAAGAACTACCTTTATTTGAGGAATGGGGAGTGTTTAAGTGCTTTTTGGAGAATCTTTTTTACTTATTTGTTGGCTAAATAAGGAAGACTATACATTAACTCCCAGACAAGAAATATCCTGAATACTGTGCTGACCAAATTTTTAATCTGATTCTGTTTGTGTCTAAGGTTCTACAGACGGGGGTCAAAAATGGTCCTGCCAGCCAAAATATTACAGACATGGAGAAAGTTTGCTTTAGGATATTCTTTGTGTCTCATTGTACGTTAATACTGAGAAGAACAAAGATGAGTCAGTTTCTCCTTCCCTTTTCCCAGAAGCCACTGCCAGGGAAATCACATGGGGCAGAGGAAAAGAAAAGCAGTGGTGAGTGTTAGGTGTTAACAGAACAGTTTACTATCTTCTCAGTGGCTGTTTGCTCTGCCAGTGAAGACAGTTGCATTGGCAGTTAGGCCAGGAGGCCAGATAAGAAGACCAGGGATTGGAGGGTACTTGAGGAAGGAATTAAAGTCACCTCTCCATTAACAGAAGTCAGTAAAAGAGTTCTTACTTCCCTATAACTAAAATGATTCCTTATTTTTTCTGTGTGTGATGTAGATACATGTGCAATATATACATATACATAGATACACACATAGGCAATATGTATGTAGACAGTGTAGATGAGAATTGCCTCTATAAAAATTAGATATGATTTCTTCACCTTCATGTGAGGTTTAGATTATTTTAATTTTTTTCAGAATATAATCTTTCCAAATTTTTTCTTTGCCTTGTTCAGTCAACTACTAGGAGAAAAAAACTCTCCAAAGACATTTGAATCTTCCTCCTCCCTTTCCAAAGTTTTTGCTGAAATGGCACACAAATACTATAAAATGAATACTCAGTGAGATAATCACAAAAGCAGTGGGAAAAAAATCTATTATCACAGGCCCTTTAACATTTATCAGTGATTTTTGAGTATTTATTAAAACATTGTTAGATGCTAGACAAATGTGTCAGCATTTAAAACATCAAGGTTTCTTTCCTCCATATGCTTATTGCGTGTGTCACTCGTTCTCAACCATCATTCTACACTTGTGCTTCAGTGTTTATCAAGTCAACTTAGCAATGATGGAGAAGCTTAAAATGCTTTATTTATAAGAATGTTTTCTTGCCTACCAGTAGTTAACTTAGCTTGTGAGTAATTTCTATAATAGTAGCCTTTCATTCCCTAAATTTTATAATAGATCTTTTTAGTGATTTGTTTTTAAGTTGTATTCCTATATAGTTAAATATTCTTTTCTCTTTTATTTATCTTATTTTATTTTATTTTATTCAATAATTATATTAGTTTCAGAACATTAGCTACATAGATATCAAATTTAAAGGTTTTAACAGAATTAAATTTCTGGTTGTTTTATTTCTGATGAGTTTTAGTCTGTTCATTATAGCATCAACATACATGTGCATCAAATTTCAAAAAAACAATTGAACTAAATTAGAATGGCTTCTTAGGAATTGAACTAGAATTCTCATCTTCCTAACACAAATCTACAAATCTGCCTCTGTGTGTACTTATGTTCTCCATCTTGCCTCTTGTCACAGTGACAGAAGTGTCCCTGCTCCTATTAAAGGCCAAGTTCCCCTTAAGCATCAGATTACCTCTTCTCACCTCCTATAGGACTTTGCTCCTGGAAGTTTGCTCACTCCTCCATGTGTCTCCTTCCTCTACTGGATCATTCCAGTTGTCGTACAAATGTGCTTTAGTATTTCTCACTTTAAGACGAAAAGAAAAATGAAACCTCTCCTGGTCTCATATCTCCCTATCTTGTTTCTCTGCTTCCCTTCACAGCCGAACTTTTCCAAAGAGAATTCACCATCTTTACTTCTTCAGCTTTTGAAACCACTCTTAATCTGGCTTCTATACCTACCATTCTATTGTTGCTGTGTGTCAAGGTCACCAAAACCTCCATGTTACCAAATTCAGTGATCATTTCTCTTTCTTCTTGACCTTTCAGTAACATGCAGTACAGAGATTACTCTTTACTTAAAATACCTTCTCTCTTAGCTTTCTTGGAACTCCTGAGCTCAAGCAACCCTCCCACCTCAGCCTCCTGGAGTGCTAGGATTACAGGCATGAGCCACCACGCCCAGCCTTCTCTTAGCTTTCTTGATATCATGCTCCTCTAGTTTTCTTCCTACCTTTCTGACTTTTCCATTTCAATCATTTTGGCTGGCTGCTTCTTTGCTCTATATTTAAATGCCAGTTGTCCTACACTCATCCTCTCTCATAGCTTTATATACTATCTTTCTGCTGGTGACTTCCAAATTTATAGTACAAGAACTAAACACAGATACACACACATATAGCTACTACGTGATATCTCTACTTAAATGTTTATAAAAGATCTCAGACATACTTTATAAAAAGCACAATTCTTTTTCCCCCCTTCCAAAGATATTGTGTACTTCTGGCTCCCTCTGTCTTACTCATCTCAGTAAAGTAACCTACCCATTTGCTTAGGCCAAAACCATAAGAGGCTTCCTTCTCGTTCATTGTCCTCACCTCCATCCCTATTCCATCCCTGAGCATGATTTGTTATCTCAAGGCCTTCCACTGGGCTTCATTTCCATAGCCATGACTCTAGTGCTAGCTGATATCATGTTGTACTTGATTTACTATGATGATTCCTTGTCTACTCCTGGCCACTTCCAATCCATGCTTCATATAGTGGCCAGACTGGTCCTTTTAAAACTTAAATCATTTTTATTTCCCTTCTTAATATTAATTAACTTCCCATCACAGACTAAAATCCAAGCTCATGGCTTTCAAGGCCCTACATTATCTGGCCTCTGCAAGTGCATCGTCTACTATTCTCAGTGACTATGTTCCAGCCATACAGTCTTTCTTTCCTAAACACAGCAAGGTTTTTCCTATAGCATGACTTTTGTATTTGTTATTTCCACTGCTTCCTTTTCCTCCCGCTCTTTCAATGGCTGTTTCCTTTGAGTCTACAAATTATCATGTATCTTTGTTCTTTTTTTTTTCCCTGCACTAGAATGTAAGTTTTAAGGGGGTAGGATTTAATCTGTTTTTTAGCTATTTAGTTCCAGTTTCTAGAAAAGTGCATGGCACCATAGTAGACTGTCAATAAGTGTATATTGTTGAATAAATGAATGTTTTGTTATAACTACTTCGGTTACAACAATGTTTTTGTTTTAATCGTTAACAGAACCAGGAAATATGTCCCTCTGGAATGGACTCCAATAGTGATGACAACTCCAGGGATTTATGTGTGAAGAATTTACTGTTAGTATCAAATTCCTTATTATGATTATTAATACCAAGAAAGATTTAATTCCGCAGTCCATTTATAAAAGGAAATTTCCATCATATCAACTCTTGGATTTGGGGTCTGATATTCTCTCAACTGAGAATATCTTTAAGAAAATTTGATGTGTTAAATATAGCCAATGTAAAGCTTTCTTTTTCTTAGATGTAACTATTAATACTTTTTTGATGTCTAAGAATAAGAAACCTTGCTAGAATTTTTAAACTATTCCCTTCGGTCATATTTTTCTCTATATCATGTTTTTATTCGAGGAAGGATCGGTTATTGAAATGACAATATTTTACCAATCCTACAAATAGTCTGGTTTAGAAAATACATGTAATCAAAGAACATATTCAAAATAGCTATCACAATTGGATTTTGCTGATCCAATTTATTTTTCCAATTAGACCCTATATACCCTCTTCCCCTTCTCTTGGCTTGAGTGTACTTTATTTGTTTGCTTATGAATTATTGAGATTTAATTACATACAGTAAAATGCACAGATCTAATTACACAGTTTGATGAGCTCGACTAATGTATATATCTGTGGAACTAAAACCTCAGTTAAGATAGAGAGCATTGCCGTCAGTCTAGCCCAGGGTTTCTCAGTCTTGGTACTGATGACATTGTGGGCCAGATAATTCTTTGTTGTAGAAGGCTGTCTGCATTGTAGATGTTTAGTAGTATCCTTTACGTCTGCCCACTAAATGCCAGTAACATCCCTCTCCCCAAGTCATGAGACCCAAAAATGACTTCAGATATTGCCAGATATCCCCTGGGGAGCGTAATTGCCCTTGGGTGAGATCTACTGCCACAGACAGTTCCCCATATCCCTTTTAAGTCTATCCCTCTCTCCTTACAGAAGTAACTGCTAATATTATTTCTATCTCCATGGATTACTTTTAATCATTAGTAGTTTCTAAACTTTTGAACTTTGAGATATGACACAATTTTTATGTTATGGGCAAAAAGTAAGAGGAGATAATTGATTTTTTAATAAGATTTCTAAAGTAGTTGTTAGTTACAACAGCTCTATATCTATTACCTAAATCTGTTGTTAAATTTTCGATGTCTAAAGTAGAAAACTCTCTGTGGAGAGTAAGGAATAAAATTACAATTAAAATGAAACAGCCAGTAATAGTATTAGAACATAAAGAAAATTTCTTGTTTCTTAAAGAGCAAGATTTTTAAAGAAAGTGAACAATGTTGAACAATTTCAGAAGAGTTCAGTAGTGTTAAGCCACCATAAAGGCATGTATTACCAACAAAGCACAGCTGTGCTAATGATAAAACAGGCTCCCAAAGAGTTAAGTAATCAAACTGTATTTTTAAAAAATATTTTTTAAGTCAATTCTAATTAGCTATTTCTTTAGTTAAATGAATTGGATCATGGCATGTTTTCAGGTGGAAAACATATCCAACTTGATATGTTAGTTCTTCCAGTGGGAGTTAAATGTCAATCACAATAAATCAACCTCCATGTAATCAACATTAAGTGTTTTTTGGTTTCCTTTGATACAGAATAGACGTATTGATTTGGAATAGAATTATGAAATGATACTAAAGTAAAAAAAAAAAAACCTATAATTTAGGAAAATATTAAATTTTTTTATTAGATAATTATTAAATAAATTTCCATTTTTCATTGGTATTTTCTAAGGCAAGTTCCTCTTGAAGACACTGACCTTCCAAGACAAAGAGAATCATTTCAAATAAAAGGTAATTCAAGTGAAAATGTAAAAATATTACTAAGGGTAAGATAAGATCTTGATAACAGGTAACATAGTTACATTTCTCTAATTCCGTTTTTAAAAAAACTTTTAAAATCTGCTTGTCTTGTATTCTGCTCAAAGCAAATCTGTTTATTTTACACAGAATAATAGCGTTTTAAAATATATCCATTCATTATGCCAAATCTTTAATTAAAAACTTTGGCTATGACTATGGCAGCAGTTTACTGAGCCCTACTGTGTGTCAAGCTCTGTGTTAGGCATTTTACATACATTATCTCAGATAACATAACCCTCACAACGACCTGGGAATATAAGTACAGTCAGGCCCATTTTATATAGACTCAAAGAGGTGAAACATCTCACATGAGATAGCCCAGATGATAAGAGCTAGGGTTTAAACTCAAAGCTGAACTCCAAAGCCATGCCCTTTTTACTATTAAATTGATATGTCACTATCCTCAAATAGCAATCCCCTCTACTTGAACTAAGCTTTGAAGAAGGGATAGCATTTGAATAAGCAAAACCAGACAAATATCCTCACTTTTCCTAAAAACACAGATTATATTTCTTACCTGAAAGACTTTCCAATTATCAAATCTAACTCATTTTTCAAAGAACAACTTAGCTTCCACTTTCTCACTGTATTTGTCCCACTTTGGAATATGAGGTTCTGCTCCTCTGAATCTGTACTCAATGATAGATATAGACTATTCATTTTTCTTTAAGCCAAGAGCACATAAAACCCCATGTTAGAATATTTTTTAAGATTATACAGGTTCAATATCCCTTATCGGAAATGCTTAGAACTAGAAGTGTTGCAGGTTTTTTCAAATTTTGGAGTATTTGCCATATACCAGTTTCAGCATCCCTAATCAGAAAATCTGAAATTCAAAATGCTCCAATGAGCATTTGCTTGGAGCGTCATGTCTACACTCTTATAGTTTTAGATTTTGAAGCATTTGGATTTTGGATATTCAAATTAGGGATACTCGACCTGCATGAGATTCTTTCACAGGTCAGATATAAGCCATTAGTTGATCACTGACAAGTAAATAGATGTTAATATTAAATTCCCTAGATTTTTATTTACTTACTGTAAATGTAGGAAAACTATAGTAAATGCCTTTTCTGTCATTCCATTTTTAACTTTGAATTTCAAAATTCTTGAAAGTCAAATTTCCACAAAGTTAAGACTTTTTCTCATTTATTTTTTAAATTCTCAGAGCAAGTATCCATTATTCCTCAAGACACACTGGGATTTGATTCTGATTCAGGTGAAGCTGAGTCTACTGATAATGTCTTACCTAGAACTGTATCTCTCCGTCGTGGCAGTTTAAAGAAACATTGTAACAGTCCATGTCAGTTTGATACCTTGGATGATTTTGAAACCAGTCATTTGGCAGAGCAGTTTTTTGAATTGGAAAAAATTAGATTTGTAGACCCACTAGTAAACATGCACATACCTGAGAACATAGAACAAAATGTTTGTCAATGGAACAAGGACCACATTAACTTATCACCAATGCTGATTCACCCAGGAAGGTTTACTAAAACAACAGAAGTCATTTTAGAATCTAAATCTGAACAAACTAAAAATAAGCATAGAGCCGCACAACGAAGAAAAAGAGAAGAGAAAAGAAAAGCTAACAGAAGGAGAAAATCAAAATCTATATCAAAATATAAAGAGAACAAAAGTAAAAATAAAAGAACTATTAATATTTCCAAAAAAAAGTTGAATGAATCTGTCAGTTCCAGTGATGCTTACAATTTTAATTTGGAAGAGGGTGTTCATCTCACTCCTTTCCGAAAACAAATGAGCAATGATTCTGATAGAGAGGAAAACAAGTCTGAAGTAAGCATCTTTGAATCAAGTAGCTCGGGAGATGATTCTGATGACCTCTATTTGCCTAGTTGCAAGAATATTGAAAATCTTGCCAGCGGTTCAGATAAGAGACCGGTCACCAGGCCTCGATCTAAAAGAGCACTAAAATATACAGATGAAGAAGAGACGGAGGGTTCTAAGCCAACAAAAACTCCTACCAGTAAGTGATCTACTTGTTTGCCTGCATTTTTAATGTTTATGATAAATGATCACTCCTGATGCTTATATACTATACTTGCCATCTGTTTCTCTGGGGGAGGTTATAAACTTACCATCTGTCCCTCTTTGGGGGAAGTTACGGTGTGATTAAATAGTGGGAGACTGGGGGTGGAAATCACAGTTGTGTTGCTCTGACCTACTTCATGCTAATTTAAATCCTCTTTAACAACAAACATCACTTTTTATGGAGACAGTATTTTTATTTTCAGTAAATGAGATTCCCCTAAGGGGGACTTTTTTGTGGAGTTAGGTCGAATTAAAATATCTTTTATACACTCACCTGAAATGTCCCCTTGAAAATGAAATCAAACTTGAATCCAGTGACTTGTCATTTTAATGGCTTTGCTTTATATTTAATTTGACAGGAATTATGATTTAAAATAATTTTCTAGTTGGTGAAGGTAGCCTAATGAGACCAAAAAAGGTTTTCCTCAATTGATGGGTTTAGTATTCTTTTGTAAAGCATTTAGACATCTAAAAACTGTGGCTCAGGAAATCTTGCTTTTATGAGATCAAGAGTAGGCTTGGTACAAATGTTTCTAATACAGCCTACAGCTGCCCACAGAGATTTATTTTCACCTTGGAATTTTAGTTAGTATGGTAAAACTAATGTATGTGGTCAGGTTGTATCATTCTCAAAATACTGTTGTCATTTTATTTGATCCTCAGAACAGTACTATGAAGTATAGGTGTGTGTTATCATGCTTATTTTGTTTATAAGGAAACTAAAGGCTAAACAATTGAAGGGACTTTCCAACTTCACCAGTTAGGTGGTGGTAGCCTGCAAATATCTTTTTAAAAAATATGCTATAATGATGGTAGAATAAATCAAACAAGATTGGCAAAATGTTGATAATTATTGAAGCTGGGTAACTCAGAGTTCATTATACTGTTGTCACCATCTTTATGTACGTTTGAAAATGTCCATAATAAATTTTTACAAGAAAAAATATATACACTCTAAAGTAGTATTACTCTGAGTTTGTTCCCCAGACTACCAGCATCAGCGTCACCTGGAAACTTGGAAATGCAGAATCTCAGGCTGTACCCCCTACCTTTGAGTCAGGATCTGCATCTCTTTAACAAGTTCCTCTGTGGATTCATACATATTAAAGTTCAAGAAGCATTATTCTGCAATATAGCAACTGATCTGATACTGTTGCTTATACATATTTCTCAAACTGAAAGTTGGAATAATTAATATGGTATAATATATTTATGTGGCAACAAAAATACTGTTTTGAACCCAGATGACCCTAGAGCATATGCCTGCTTCATAGAAAATCATTTCACAGTTACAATTTAGGTTTTGGGGGGATACAATATGCTTTTTAAAGCTATTTGAAGGGACTATTTGTATTGCAGTGTCCTTGCTGTGTTCTGGGCACCTGCTTCCCAATACGGATGCACCACCAAAGTAGAATAACTTGGGTGTTTCTGACAGGAAAAATGCTAGGTAACTTTTTAACACACTAGCTTTACTAGATGGAACCCCTTTTCTCCTGGTTTACACAGAGGCTATGATTTAGATGATTCTTATTTATTTAATAGAAGGAGTTTAAGTGGCTTTATAAGACTAGAGGGAGTTGGCTGTGGTGGCTTGAGCCTGTAATCCCAGCACTTTGGGAGGCTGAGGTGGGAGGATCACTTGAGCCCAGGAGTTAGAGACTAGCCTGGCCAGCATAGTGAGACCTTGTCTCTACAAAAAAATTAAAAATTAGCCAGGCATGGTGGCACCCACCTGCAGTCCCAGTTACTTGAGAGGCTGGGGCAGGAGTGTCACTTGCGCCCAGGAGTTTGAGGTGGTAGCAAACTGTGATTGAGCCACTGCACCCGAGCCTGGGCAACACTGTGAGACTGTCTCTTAAAAACAAAACAAAACAAAACAAAACTATAGGAAGCTACTTAATGATAAACTTAGGTATTGAAAGAGATAAAGAAGCCATGATGGTTCTAAATAGCAAGGTATGACTAAAATGAAATTCAATAGTTTAAAATAACTTTTTATGCCCATGCTATCCTAGAAGAATTTTAACTTTTAGTTAAGTGTTCTATCAGTTGTTCACATCCACTGTAGTTAATTATTTCAACATTGTTTGGTTTGAGAGGAAGAGAAGAAAACAAAAAAGTTAAAAAAAAATCTGTATTAGGCTGGGCGTGGTGGCTCACACTTGTAATCCTAGCACTCTGGAAGGCAAGGCAGGAGGATTGCTTGAGCTGAGGAGTTCGAGATGGGCCTGAGCAAGAGTGAGACCCCTTCTCTACTAAAAAAATAGAAAGAAATTAGCTGGACAACTAAAAATATATGGAAAAAATTAGCTGGGCATGGTGGCTCATGCCTGTAGTCCCAGCTACTCAGGAGGATGACGCAGTAGGATTGCTTGAGCCCAGGAGTTTGAGGTTGCTGTGAGCGAGGCTGACGCCACGGCACTCTAGCCCGGGCAACACAAAAAAAAAAAAAAAAATCTATATTACAAAAAGTTGGATTTTGTGTACATTTAAGATATGTAATTGAGTATAATTTTAGTTCCTGTGACTTTGTCTTGTTTTCTTTTGGAGCCATATTGAGTAAAAGTTGTTTTTGTAGGTACACCACCTGAAACTCACCAGTCACCTCATTTTAGCCTGAAGGATATCACCAATGTTCCCTATCCTGCAGTTAAAATCAGGAGACTTTCTCTTTCTCCAAAAAAGAATAAAGAAAGCCCAGCAGCATCTCTGCCTAAGCGTAGGTGCACAGCCAGCGTGAACTATAAGGAGCCCACACTTGCTTCGTAAGTATTTGATTTGTGAGAACACATTTTTAATGATGCATGTTGGGGGAATAATGTTATAGAGCTTTGTTTAAGAATGAGGCATATTTGAAACAAAAATTTAATAAACTGAAGTAGAAACATTAAAATTGTCATATTTTGCTATAACTTTATACCAAAGAATAAGTTAATATTGGGATGCTTATAATTATGCCTAAGATCTCTTTTTACCCTTATAGGAAACTGAGAAGAGGAGACCCTTTCACAGATTTATGTTTCTTGAATTCTCCTATTTTTAAGCAAAAAAAGGATTCCAAACGTCATTCTAAAAAAAATGTGAAACAAATACGATGAAGCTTTTGTTGGATACTGTTTAAATTCATCCTATACCCTTTTGTATTGCTCAAAGAGAGAATATGTAAGACAGTACACAAGTGGGTCGAACTATCGCCATAGAATATTCTCTTGATAGGACCCTAAATCATTTCTTCAAGACTTTACTTCAAATGTGATGTTTTATCTTCAAGCTTTAATAAATTTATTTTTTCTTTTGACTATAAATAACTGGACTTAAGCACTATAATCGTTTAGATTTCTTATGCTTCCAAAACTCCTTAATTTTAGTCAAAATGTATATTACACCAACATTTTGGAAATTAATGATTATTCAAATTAAGGTATTTTAATTATAAGTTTCTGGCATCTTTATTTTTCCCTTAAGTGGGGGATACTAGAGTGAATGATTTTTCTAAGACAGGCTAAGAATCTTTTGAAACTCTTTATATAGTATTTGAGTGAAATAAATCCTTGACATTCACAGTAGGTTATACCCTAAGTTGTTTGTGAATCCCTTATACAACTGTGTATTTAATTTTTTATTAATAGGTGAAATGTGTATGGGATCATGATTAGAGAAATTAATGATTGTTTAGGCTCAGGGACTAGGTAAGTGACTAGTTCTGAACTCCAAGCTCTAACAGTATGTTGTTCAAAGTGCTGCCTCAGTAAAATCACAAATGTCACAGTCTTTTGAGATAGCTCCTTATTTAGTTAAAAATCTCAAATATTAAATGTGTGAATACTAAGGGCTTTTCTGTATTTTTGATCCACCATGAGAGGGAATTAGTTCAGTTTAGAAAATTTGACATCTATACTTATATATACCTCTTTAAATTTTAAAACACTGTAGATTATCCATTTTTAAAGAGCAATAAAATTTGTATAACATAGCAATTATGTTCTCCTTCTGTTCTTTAAATATCAAAGATAGAATATCTGTCTGGTTGTCTTACTTTCTAGCCTTCACTATTTTATCCTTGGACATTTCCTCTCCCCTCCCGTTCTCTATAGTCATTGCCATGAAACTCTCATCTTCCCGATCATACTCTAAACCTAACACCTCTCTTCCAGCTTTTCATTGTGCAGTCTCCCAGTTTGTGATCAACACATTCTGATTTTATTGAGTGACTCTTCCAATCCTGATCTCAAATTTTCTTGACTGCATCTGCGCATCTTTCTACGTTCCCTATCAGTCACACCCAAAATCCTTTTCATCACCCCAAATTTTTCTATCTCTAAATCATTGATTCATACATCCTACTCTCCTACCACAGTCTCACTTTTTCAGTTTGTTTCTTTGCCATTCCCCTTGTGCCTATTCTGTAAATTCATGGAAACTCTACAGTGACTAAGAGTACATGCAATTAAAAATTCAATTTCTCAGTCCCACTAGCTACATTTCAATTGCTCAGTAGACACATGTGACTAGTGGTTACCATATTGGACAACTGGGGAAATGTAGAACATTTCCATCATCACAGAAAGTTCAATTAGACGATAACCTATGGGCCAAATCCAGCATACTGCCTGTTTTTGGATGGTCTGCAAGCTAAGAATGGTTTTTGCATTTTTAAATAGTTGGAAAAAGTCAAACACTTGGAATCAATTTTGATGATAGGAAACACTAAGTTCGAACCCCAATAATGAACCTAAATAATATACTTGATTTTGCCTCTTGGCCTTTAAAACCTAAAATAATCACTTTCTGGCCCTTTACCAAAAATGCTTGCCAACTCCTGCTCTAGCCATTGACTGCCTCTACTTTTGCTTTAAAGATCATTCTGTTCTGATATTTTCTGATCTAACTTTGATTCTCATCTTCCTTTCATCCCCAGAGTCAACCATTATCCTAACTAATATCGATGTTAAAGTTTTTGTACTTTTAGTGTTTCTATATTCTTGCTGTAGACTGTTAAGTATTGTTTTATATCCATAGACTGTTTAGTATTGCTTATTTGTAGACTAAGTATTGTTTTGTATCTTAACGTTTTATATGAATGTTATCACATTGTACATACCCTTTTATAACTGACTTTTAACTTGACATTGTTTTTGAGATTTATCCACGTTAGCACACATAGATTATTTTCATTGTACAGTATTTTTATTATGTAAATAAACCAAACTTAATCAGTTTTTCTTTTGAGAGACAGTTTGTTTCCACTTTTTTATTATTTATAAATTAGTACTGCATTGAATATTCTGCATCCTTGTACACATATGCTTAAGCTTCTGTGGAGTTGACACCTAGAAGTGGAGTTGCTCAGTTGCAGAGTACATTCAACTCTGACTTTACTATGGGTTTGTAAGTTGCTCTCTACAGTGGTTGCACCAATTCTTCTGTTATAAGGAAGGATATCACTTTCCTAACAGCAATTTATAAGTTCTAGGATCACCACACAGAGTTCCTCACTTAGTGTTATTAGACATTAAAATTGGCCTAGCCAATGAGTGTGAAATGGTTTCTCTCTTTGTTTTAATTACTATGAGATTGTCTCACTAATTCAATTACTTGTGAGAATTTGGGTTTTTATTGGTCATTCTCATTTCTTCCTCTATGAATCACTTATTATGTCTTTTGACTACTTTTCTTCTAGAATGTCTTTTTCTTTATAAAAGTATAAGTTTTTTATATATTCTATATACTATTTTTTATTCATATGGTTTATAAATATCTTTCCTCAACTTCTGCCCTTCTTTTAACCTTGTTTATAATGCCTTTTGATATTTAGAAGTTTTAAATATTAGTGTGCTTTACCACTCTTTTCCTTAAGGTTTTGTCTAAAATTTGTACAGTTTTGCTTTTCATTTTAAGGTCTTTAAACCGTATGGCATTTATTTGGGGGACTAGGGATCTGATTTTATTTTTTCCCATGAGGTTAACCAGTTGTCCCAGCACAATTCATTGATTAATCACTCCTTTCCCCACTGGTGACTCTTTCCCTCTTTGTCATGTACCAAGCTTCTTTCCATTGGTTTATTTGTCTAGCTTTATACAGGGTACTGTATAGTCACTATTTGGGAGTGCAGGGTTGTGAGGGGAGTAAATATAAAATTTATCATTTTGATTTCAGTAGTATTAAGTATATTCAACAATGTTGTACAAGTCTTACCACTATCCATTTCCAGAGCTTTCATCATCCTAAACTGAAACGCTATCCCCCCAGTCCCTGGTAATCATTATTCTACACCATATCTCTATGAATTTGACTATTCCAGGTACCTCACAGAAATGGAATCATATAATATTTGTCTTTTTGTGTCTGGTTTATTTCACTTAGCATAATATCTCCACGGTTCATACAGGTCATATCATGTATCAGAATTTTATTCCTTTTTAAGGCTGAATAATATTTCATTGTACGTATATACATTTTCTTTATCCATCAGAGGACATTTGGGTTTGTATATCTTTTTTGAAGAAATGTCTATTCAAGTCCAATTACCATTTTTTAAGTGAGTTGTGTGTTTTTTTCTTGGTGGGCCTTAATTCTTCATATATATATACTGGATTTATGATTTCCAAACATTCTCTCTCATTCTCTGGGTTGCCTTTTTACTGTATTGATAGTGTCCTTTGATGCACAAAAGGTCTGAATTTTGATTGAATCCAATTTATGTATTTTTCTTTTGCCTGTGTTATCAATACCATATCTAAGAAATCATCACCAAATCCAATGTCTTGATACTTTTTCCTGTGTTTTCTTTTAAGTCATAATTTTTTTATTACACAGGTAGAATTTGCTAATATTTTGTTTAGGATTTTTTATATATATGATCATAAGTAAAATTTGCCTGTATCATTTCCCATATACACCTTGTATTTATGGTATCAAAGCTATACTAGCCTCATAAAATTAGTTCACAATCTTTTCTTTTTGCTCTATGGAAACAAATTTATACCTATTGATATTTTGGTAGAATTTGCCACTAAACCTATCTTATCCTTCTGTACTTCTATGGGAAAATTTGTCATAGTTTCTTAATGATTATAAGT